CCAACCAAGCACAATTCCTTATTCATTCACAATAAGTTTCAACTCACAGTGATTCTCTCACTCAAAATAGTTTTCAACACAAGGTTAATGCCATCAGTTACTAAAATCAGTACTCACCAAAGGTCCCAAGATAGATGTCTTTAGTGTCTCTACTCTCACCAATCCTACCAATACGTGCTTGCCATTTACCATCCTTTCGTCTGTTTAGTCCAAGTGAGTGGATAAAGTTAAAATTTGCTGTAGAACTGAACATGAAGAATTCTTAAGTTTTAATACAGCAGAAAATTTTCAGTTGCAAAAGGAAACAAGATGGATCAAAATCCTACAAATTTATTTCACCAGACTAGATAATTCTTTATATATATTCCTGAAGTATAGAATAGCACCTTGTTACACCCCTGTATGACGATGTTCCTCTTGAGAAACAACTACTCTGCCTGAAATAATCATAAGAACAGTTTGAAAAACTAGCACATAGGTTTTAAACCTGCAATATTCAACTATATAACAGACCTCCTTATGTAGGCCACAAATTCATCTTGATTCATGCTCTTCATGATCTCAATTTCTTTTGCATAATCAGAAATCTAGAGAACAATTAGAAGTTAATTCCATTTTCCTGTATAACAAGATGCCAGTTCCTCAAAATACACAAAACAACAAACACTTCATACATTGAAGTTTAGTTTGGTGGGTTGAGTTATGCCCCAATATTTCAGGGCTGCAAGGTCATGTGCCCTTGCAGCATTCTCTTCAGTAACATAGCTTCCTGTAATGCCAAAATGAAGATTAAATTGAGCTGTTTTTAAGTTCAATCAAAACTCACTCTATGATGGCAGACAGTATAAGTTACCCAAGTACACTGAAGAAGCACAATGGCAGCCAAAGGTAGAAACCGATCCCATGCAGAACATCCAAAGAAAAATAATCAGTTAGGGAGAGTGAAGATACTAAGTGCACAATTAAATGTTGCATTGTATAACAAAAAGCACTAGGATTCTCAAATGCCTAATCCCTACAGAAAGAAGAGAAACACTTAATAGAGACATTTGATAATACCCTTCTCCTCTTATTATTATGAAAGAAAAAAGGTGTACTCTATTGCGCTTGCACAAAATTTATCATCCTACATCAACCAAGGGTTTCAAGGTGTCATAGTAAGAAGGAATATCAATAAACAATTTACTGATCTAACAGAGATGTTGTTCCTGTATTCCCATACAAACATTCATTAATCCAGAGCAGCAATCATCCTATATTAGCATTACGACCTAGTCCGCTTTTAGTAACTCGAACTATGGTGCCACATATTATGATTTGTAAATTAGAAGACACAGTATGTGCATCCTGCAACTATCCCAGTGTTTCCATTCAAGTGCAAGTGATAACTGATCAGTGCCCTCTCAGCATTTCCAAGTTAAACCATAGATAGTTTCGTTGGGCTCTGAAAATCATTGAATGAGCAGGCTAGAGTGTGGACAGCAAAACTACGCACCATGCTTGCCCTTGCGCTTGCGCCCCTCAACCTGGCTGGTGTTGTCCCAGAGGTGTGCCTCGTACTTGCCGCTCCACTTGAGCCTGTCCCCAGCATACACACGAACACAAACAATCGAGTCAACAACACACAGGGACAGCCAGCCCTACCAATGAACAGTAACAACGTCCTGCCTAGCTTGCCCACCTCGTCACGCCGTGGTAGCGCGACGACCGGGGCGCCGCGCACTTGCGCATGGCCTCCGCCACCAGCTTCCCGCCGCCGGGGGCCGTCTTCCCCTTGTCGGCGACGGCGACGGCGGCAGGCTGCTCATCGAGCGCCGCGATCTCTACGCCTTCCCCCGCGGCGGTCGGGTTCTCCTGGCGAGGTGGAGAAGGGGGAGGGGGTGGGGCAGGGGTGGTGGTGATGGCTGTTGGGTCCGGGGAGTGGGGCTGGACGGTGGTGGCCATCGCCGCAGCGTTCGCGCGAATCTTCAAGTGGGTTATTATTACACGATTTGGGCGGAGAAACCCTAGCTAGCCCTACGAGGGGTGGAGGAAAGAGCCGGTGCGTGACTGCGTCGTTGTGTTTCCGCCCGATTCGCTTCGCTGCCTCTAGTCTAGGCTAAATAATCATCCGGCTTCTCATTAGCGCATGTTTACGAAGCCAATGCATTGCAACGAGGAATACACATTTAGTAGATATATAAATGTTAATATAATTTTTGGAGATATAAACCATATCACGAGGGAGGGTCTCCTTCTTGTGCCTTCCATGTCTGCTGCCATCCGATGATTTGCGCCCAGACAACCGCCGCGCGATTGGTAGGAACAGGATCTGCTTCACTACGATGTCGGCCGACGTGGTCTAGCCGAGTGAGCACCCCACCGTCTGCCTCCCCCCTCCACCTCACCTCCTGCTCCCGGATGCGGAGCGCCACCGGCAGGACACAACGTGATTCCTGCTGCAAATTCGGTCACGTGTTTTTAGGGGTAGTCGGCTGGCCACCACTCCAGCTCTGTCACGGAAAACAGCGAGCATGTTGTTCAGTTGTTGCACAACGTGGCCTAGAACATTCATGGTGCGTCACTATATTTTATTCGGTGCTGAAACATCTGATGCTATGAATTGAAATAGTCTAATATACAGATACGCATTAGAATTTAGTTGTTGGTCGTGGATTCATGGTCCTCCCACGTTTATTTCATTTTAGACATAGCAATTGAAGTATAAAAGAAACAAAAATATGTAGACTACGGTTGCTAAAACAAAACTGTTATGGGATTTACTAACTATACAAGTAAATGCTAAGTTAATGAAAAGAGAAGGTTGATGTGGTGCCTGTCTGACCAAATTTTTGGTTACATGTTCCACTAATATACAAGTAAGTTTTTAGTTCTTAAAGAAAAACTATTATGGGATTCAGTTACTACAAGTAAAATTTTAGTTACTATAAACATGACTGCTTTTTTTGGTTGCCTGTCTGACTGAGAGATACACTCATTATAGTGAATTGGCAAGAAAAAGTTTTCAAGTACTGGTCATGAAGGTAGTTGTTGTTAGTGGTGGCTAAAACTCTTGGCTCCAAGAAACAAATGACGATTGCTGGATTTGCAGAATCTTTGTTGATCACCTCAAAGGTTTGATCAGTTATATACTTGCATCCTGAACTATATGATTTACAAATGGGAGTGTGGCTGTGTGATGACAGGTCTTCTCTATTATTTTATTTTTATTTTTCATGATTAGCAAAATCCTTACAACCGGTAGTCTAGGAAAGCTTTTGTCCTGTAATATCTACAATGCTGATTCTAGATTGCTTTGCAAAGAGTGCAATTGAGCATGGCTTAGGTGCTGATCTTGTTTGTCATTGATGCGCGCTAAATAGTAACTGAGCCTATTAAATTTTGAAGGATGCTGAAAACATGTGGATACATATATCTGCTATCTTATGCTATTGTTGGTATTTTGAGGCCTCACAATGTGGTTCATGTCCATCATAGAATGCTCTATGTGAATTTCTCGTGGATATAGAATGTTCAGTGATATAATCAAGTTTCTTGCTTGCGAAATATCATGTTTCTCGCTTTCTAAAATGAATCTTGGTGGTCTCAGAAGATTGTCACATGAATATCATCAATAATAGAGGCAATCTTCACATGAGAATATGTGTTGCTATGTTATACAGGCTTGTAGGCATTATGTAATTCTATATTGAAGTGCATATGAAACATGAACTTATTCCGTTGTCTAAATAAATGCTTTTGGCCATAATGTGATTAACAGAAATGACTACTGATTTGAAGTCGCATTATGTAATTCTATATTGAAGTGCATATGAAACATGAACTTATTCCATTGTCTAGATAAACGCTTTTGGCCATAATGTGATTGACAGAAATGACTATCGATTTGAAGTCATGGTGTCAATATTGCACTTTCAGTCTACAGTGCCAACTGCATCTGCTAGACATATCCATGCACTCTCCTTACTTTGCTGAATCTGTGCACTAAGAGAATTTCAATATCTTGTGTCACCCAATGCGAAGATCTCGATTGTGTAAACTTATTATTTCTAAGCTCCCTATGTTACAGAAAGGAGAAACAAGATTATTAATTATATGTTGGATAAGATTGTTGGTATTCTATTCTGTGGTCCTTTTCTTTTGTCAGATTATATTATGCAGACTTACATGGTACACAGATTGTCATTGCCTAGCATTAACTACTAACTACTACTACTACTTAGATACTGATCTGTATGCGTGCCCTTTTATGATACATCTTTCAAAATACTAATTAATAATTGCAGATGAATTGTAATGGTAAAGGGAATAAGTCTATCTATTTTAAATGGCTTGTGTTCTGTATGGGTTAGTAGGCACTTGGCACAACCAGAGCACGCACAAGCATCCTTCTGATTTTTTTAATTAGGCCTCAGAAGTAGCAGACAACAGTTACAATCGGTGATGGTAGCATCATTGTCTACTATCAAGTACATTTAATCTCAGTTACTCATAAGCTTAATATGTTGTAAGTACTCTGCAATCTGCACGGGGATGCCCACAATCACAAAAATTTATTAATATCTCACAAATTTGCAGATTTTATTTCAAATACTTGTAGGATTGATTTTCACAGAATTTGTTGTGCACATGGCCAAACATGCTAATTTTGCACCTTTAGTACCATAAGTATCAAGTGCAGTTAATCTTAGTTGCTCGGATGCTTAATATGTTGTTATGGTGATGTAGATTGAAGGAGGTCATCACTGTGAACAATGGAAACATTCTTGTGATCAAGGACAATGAGCCAACGGCAAGATGGTTGACGCTCAACACCGTTGGAGACGAGGAAATTGTAGTTCCGCGGACTGCTTTGCTACCGCAGTAGTTGCTGCTGCAGTGCGGGCTATGCTTAAGAGAGA